ACTCATCGGGTGTCGAAAAACCCTAGTTTTTTATTTGGGTCGAGCTCCTTTTGGCGGTAGAACCGATTGGGTAATGCATGAATATCGCCTCTGCGACAAAGATTCTTCACAAGAATCACTTAATTTCAAGGTGAAAACACCGTAAATCGATTAAAAAATATGATAAACGAAAAAATGATAAACTTTTGTTTTATGAATTACTAATTGATCATTTTCGATATTTTATCGCTGTGTAGGGAGATTTCGCGCTGTGCCGTGTTCTGAAGAGGAATGATCTTACTTTGAAGAAATGTGAAACCCGCTCACCAGAGGTTTCAAATGAGCCATTGGCCAATAAGATTGAGATTTCTTGTCAAGAAAGTTACCAAGAAAAGGGTTCTTGTGACACAAGTAACACACTATGGGTTTATCCTGATATCATCCTTGAATCATCGTTTAAGGTACTTTAAGATGAAATTCAAACTCGCAAAAACTTAAATTACTGCAAAAGGAACTTAAAATTTATATTCATCAATGTCATTGTGTCTCAAACTTCATTAATTTTTGTTTTTTGTAGGGGAATTCACAACCACAAACAGAACAAGATTTGGGTTTCCAAGAATTTACACTACCCGAATTTGAATATCCGCAAGAGTTCTTCGCTGATCTGAATTTCGATTGGGAAATGGAGAGTCCATTCATGTTCAATAATTATCAAGAAGCTTATATGAACAATGAAGTCATGAACTATCAAGTTTTTGGGTAAAAAACATAGTCTAGATGGGTCAAGGCCTAACTATCATCCCATTTGTTTAATATTTAGATTTGTTTGTGTGTATACTCATATAGTATAGTTGCATACTATAAAAAAATATTAAACTACTAGATTCTCCATCAATTAGTAGTTATAGCTTACACTTTCCAAAGACTTTTTAGGTCTCAAAAGTATGTATAAATCAAATGTTATGTATCTAGTAATTACATAAATAAAAATGAATTATTTGAATTTGTTGAGTTCTCTTTTTTTTTGTGATTTAATACAAAGAAGCAATGTAGGGATTACAAAAGACTAAAACATCATCAAGAGTAACTTTACTTTCATCTCCAAAGATAGATTCTTTCCCATCTTTCCTCTTAGCATATGACAAACCCAATCTTGATTTAGCCATCCTCAAATCACCTATCCCCGAATTCGTATCAGGACCAGCAAATCCGCCCATCACGGGAGCTAAAGGCGGTCCAATAAGAAGCCCGTCAGCTCCAAATTGTGGCCCTCCACGCGCATAATCGAATAGAGCCGCTCCGCTTCCTCCAACCTTAGGAAGGACGATTGGATCCTCGCAATCATCGAGCCAATAGAAGAGGAAAGCGTCGAATGTATCGTAATAATCATCAGTGCTTCTATAACCTTCAGGGCTAAATCCACCAAACTTGAAAGATTTTCCTTTGGTGTAAGCTATGATAACACATGGACCTTTGAAATCACAACGTTCATGGAACTTTGTTGCACTAAACCCATCAATGCTTGCCTTGTAGCAACATTTTAATTCTTTTCCTAATTCAAAAAGAAAAAAAAAACGAATGGTCTCTTAAGAATTTCAGATAAAGACATATGCATTCACATGGATTCTATGATTCAAGTATATATATATCAAAATTAAGAAAATAATCAAGGTTTTATAAATTAACAAAAAAGTGTCTTGAAAGTCTTAAAATGAGATCAAGAAGGCATTAGATACCTTTTAGGAAGGTTTTGTTTACTAATGAAAGAGAGAAAGGAATTTGGACGTCGTCATGATAAACCGGTTGCTGCGGCTGCCGGAAATTGTCTGATTTCTTGCCGAAGTTCCAACCGAACAGACCGTTGTACGGACTTATTGTCTTCGAAGTCTTGAAGGTTACGATGTGGATTGTGTTTGAGATGGCACAAGAAGCCATCTTCTTGCAAATAGTGGCCACATAACAAAACCCACAAGAAGAGAACTTACACAAACATTGATCATCACTTGTTGTTTCTCAAGAACTTGTGGTTGTCATTGCCTTTGCATAGAATTGTCCAATCCGATTAAACCGAAACAAACCCAACCAAAAGCATATTAAGTATAAATTATTCGAAACCAAACCGTACCAAAACCGAGCCTTAAATTTGGCCAAAGACATGGATTTACTACTTAAAAAGTAGAAAGAGATTTATTTCTTCCAAATCGAATTGAAGACAATCCTTAACAAGATTAGCTCAAAAGAGTTTTGAATCACGATCACAAGTTTTTGTACATCGTGCAAGGTTCTTTTGTCGAAGAGAAACAAATTTCCTGAAGTATAAAAAGCTTTGAGGAAGAAGCAAACCATTTATTTTTGGTACTTACAAAAGTAAAACCTGAAGTTGTGATGATCTCTTTTGGAAACCCCAAAGAGAAGCTATTTAGGAGGTTGCTCCAAAGATTCGGATTCTCTGCTGAACCAAACTTCTGCAACAAGGACAAATGACTTTGCTTCCATCATTGGTGTTGAAGAAGTTATCGCTGCAACTACCGCACACAATTTGATGAGCACAAGGAAGAAACACCACAGAGACTTCATCTTTCATACACATTATGCATTCTCGATCATTGTTTCCTTCATTCTCAATAGACCCTTCAAGCTTATCGAGTTCTTCAAGCAGCTTAGCAATGTCTTCTCCTCGGGATTTTCCGGTTTCCCAAGCGTTGTTATTGGACAAATGGCTTGAGTCTGTATCTGAAGAAGCTTTGAGCCGAGAGAGTTCTTGCTCTAGTCTTTGGTGATCGTCTTTGTGTCGTTGGAAGTCTATTTCAATCTTTAACCTTAGAGTCTCGAGCTTTCTCTTATTGTGAGCTTCGGTTGCTTCTTTTGTGCGTTGTTCCTCCTCCACTTGAGCCAACGCTTGCTCTCTTGCTTTCTGCTCTTGCCTCCACTTAGCCTGCAAATAAAATATTAACCAAAATACAATAGACTAACCTTCAATGTTTGACTGAGGTAAAGTAGATTAATATTTCAATTATTCAGCCATCCACCACAGTCCAAGGAAATCTTGAGCAAATTTTTGACACAAATGTGCAGCAACGGAGATAATGCACCCGCAAAAAGATTTAAAGTCAGGAACGAAAAGAAAATATAAACTCACTAACAACGTAGAGAGAAAGAGCTATCCCATGGAACTTATAAACCCTCTGGCCAAATCTACAACTCAAAACTTATAATATTCAAACCGCGCCAAAAAATGAGGCAAATGCAGACTATACCTACTTGAACAGACTACCATCTAATAAGACCAGATCAGCTTGTAGACTAGCTGCACGCCTCGAATGAGATTTGTGTAAATATTCTGAATCCTAAGTACATGTCCTTCCATAATTCTAGAGTCAGAGAACCTAGAGAAGGTAAAAAATGAAGATAATACCTCAGTTTCTTTTTCGTCCTGTGTGATCTGAGCTAAAGCCCTATTGAGGGTCTTAATCTTTTCTTTCTCAGCTGTAATATCATCCTGCAACTTCGCTTTCTGCTTCTCCCATGCCAAAAGCTTCTTCAAGCATTTCTTCTCCTTCTTTGATGCTTCCATGCACTCTTTAAGCGATTCTGATGCACTTAATTTGAAACCCTCCCTCTCTGCTCGGATTTCTGCGTTCTGATTCTCAAGCGTTCTTACAATCGCATTAGCCTTGTCGCTTTGACTACTAGCGTTCTTAACAGCATTGTCCAACTCAGATAATTTTTTCACGGTTGTTTCTTCAATAACTTGTCTTCCCTTTTTCAACAGTTGGATTCCTTCTCTTTCACTATTCAACGACTTAAGCTCGGCCAATTCATCGCTGACCTTTTGGGCAGCTTGCATTGCCTTCTTCTGAGCCCAATCTTTCCTTTCCTTTAATTTCTTCTCGAGATCCTTAACATGATCGAGCAGATTGACAATCACACCATCCTTATCATCCTCACCCACCGATTCCAGATTATCATCAAGGTTCAGATCGCGAAACTTCTCTAACACCAAACTAACACTTTCTTCACTTCCAGAATTACGTGGCTGCTCACTAGTCTCCACAGGTACAATATCGGTACAAGGCAAGCTATTACCACCAGTTTGAGACTGTATCTCTTTCTGCTTCATACTAGCACGAAAACCAGCAGCAAAAGCTGCAACATTCCGTTTCAACAAGGCCTTCATCGATGGAGAAAGATTAAACCTCTTCGGACAATCAATCTCTCTCTGCAGCTTCAACTCATCACCATTCATCGAAAACCCGTTACCAGAAAACTCGGGTCCTCCATCATTCCCATAATCCCAACCTCCATGGAATCTACATAACGCCGGTGCCATAAAACCAGAAAGATCTACACTACCACCACCAATTCCTTCTTTCTTGTTATCTTCCTTAGCCCTATTTCCTGAATTCAAGATATCCATAGTACTTGCCCTACCAACATGGAGCTCACTCATAACCAAACACCACAATGCATCACCTTTACTCAAACTAGGCTTAACTTGTTGTAACAAGTAAATCATACCAGCAAGTGAATACTCCTCCAACTCTCTCAAATCCTCAAAACCAACCTCTGTATCATCCTCGCCTCCGCCTCCACCACCGCTACTGCTATTCAAATACGATAACGAATTATTCAATATGTTAGCAGCAACATCCGAATCACCATAACAATGCCCATTACTCAAAACCGCTCTCAATGCAACGCCTTCTTCATAACCCAATTCAACAAGCTTACAAATAGCTTGGTTGTACAAAACCTCCAAATGTTTAAGCAATGTCTCTTCCAATTGTTCCTCTGTACAATAACCCCAAACATTTTCCTCACTAGGGTTCGAAATCAGAGAAAGCCCACCAGGACGAGAATCAGTGAGACCTGGATGATAAACCAAGTTTTTCAGACTAGACCCAACGATTGATTTCGATAGAGAAACCCTTTCGAGCAAACAACATGAATCGACATCAGGTTTCACGACGGATCGGATCTTCCGATTTGCTCTTACATGCTTCTCTCTCACAGTACAACCCATTTG